ATAGGGTGACGCGGAGGAGACGAATTGTTGAATAAAGTCATTATTATTGTTTTCTTTGCGCACAAAAAGTATTCTCGTAGCTTCGCAAAATTGAAGTTGAGCCACTGATGTCACATGGGCTGTTTTACCGATGTCCTTACTATGTTTCTGGACCTGGGAACAATATAGTTGCATTGCTGTTGATGGGAGGGTCAGAGAGCTCTCTGATTCCATCAAAAATATCTTAATTTGTGTTCCGATGATGAACGAAGGTCTTATGTGTTTGGAACGACATGAGGATGAGTAATTAATGACAGAATTTTCATTTTGGGGTGAACTAACCCTTTAAAGCTAACTGTTATGAAGCCAAGACAAAAAAAAAGGTTATGAAATAAGAACGAAAAAAGACAAGAAGAATTTCAGGCTCACCCCAGTCTGTGAGAAACTCTGCAGCAAAGCGATACAATAAGTTCATGATCTCGATGACCACAGCGTAGATGATACTGGGTACAAACAGCAGAATGCTCGTCGCAATGCTAGGATCTTCATTGTATATATTTATGGCCCAGAACTCCATGTCAAAGTAAACCATCATCACGTAAAAGGACAGATACAGGCACAGCAGAACGAAGGGAACCGACACCAAATATATCCTCAACTGCCGCCTGTCGTGGGAAAATAAACACTGTCAAAACAAACTGAGCATCTAGAACACTTCCCATATTTATCATGCTTATATGTGACCCTGGACCACAAAACCAGTCTTAAGTGTAATTTTTTTTCGAAATTTAGATTTATACATAATCTGAAAGCTGAATAAATAAGCTTTCCATTGATGTATGGTTTGTAAGGATAGGACAATATTTGGCCGAGATACAATTTGTTTGATTCTAATACTTGTTTTTTTTTTTTTAAACATAATAACATTTCAAAAACTGGTACTTTGAGCTAGGGTAGACTGGTTCCTCTCGGCCCGTGACTGGATTAAATCCCAGAGCTCCATGGAATCCAGCCCTCGGTTCTTCAAACGCTTTTTTGCGGCTCAGAGTTCCCCACCCGTATGCCAACGTAGCGCTGCATCTCTTCCACACTTCCAAGAATACTGTAGACCAAACCAGGTTGAAGACCGCAAACAGCACATACTTGTCATAGTCCTCCCAGTCAAAGAGGTAGTAAGGGATACCGATGAGGGCCATGGGCACCAAGGCAAATGTGAAATACTCTAGAAATCCAAAGTAGAGTGCCAGACCCTCACCAAAATAATGTCTGATGTCATCTACATCATGGAGGACACAAACAGAACATCTGCAATTAATATAGCACAGTACACAGCAGTTTCAATGCATGTGTTTAATGTTCAAAAACACCAGACTTTAAGTTGAGCTGAGCTTCAAGATGGTGCAAGTACAAATCCGCTTCACTTTACATTTGCATTAAGCAAGCAATCAACAGTACTTTTGAATTCCCAGAATAATTCAAGAGAACAGCTATAAATCGCACACCCACCAAATATGACATTCTGCTGTACTTATATAAGCAAAATTCTTGTGAAATTCTTTTCACAGTAAGTTATATCAGAAAACTGATAATAAAGGCTGGAGTTGGGTTTAAAGTTCGTGCTGCCAGCGCACACAGACTGAGTGACTCACCCAGTGGCTGGAAGGACAATTTGAACTTTTTGTACCATGAGAACGAGAGCCTTTTAAGGTCTTCTTTGTTATGGAGAGGAAAATACTGGTTTAGGACACCTTTAGACTGCAACCTCCGCACTGGAAAAGAGTTTACAGATAAAATGTAACTTCAAACGTAAAACCAAAAAAGCACTGTGAAAAAACTTGAATAAAAAATACTAAAGCATTACTGTTAAACAGCAAATATGACAATCTGAATGGCAATGTTTTAAATTTAGTTTCAACTGTTGACCACGCTGCACTTATTCTATTCCAAGATATAAAACAACAAAAAAGTGTTTTATTCTACACAGGCAGGGTCTCCTACTCATGTGAAACGCCATGTTGAGATCACATGACCTTACAAATACTTACACTTATTTCAACATTATTTGTAAAAGTACATTAAAAAACACCAATATTAATATTCCATTTCTGAATTTCACTTTTGAATAACCAAGAATAACCAATAACCAAGTAATCAAAAACATTTACACCAATAATGTTTTAGCACACAGAAAGTGTGACCATTGGTTAAAGGGTTAGTAAAAAATAAAAATTCTGTCATTAATTACTCACCCTCATGTCGTTACAAACCTGTAAAACCTTTGTTCATCTTCAGAACACAAATTAAGATATTTTTGATGAAATCCGAGAGCTTTCTGACCCTGCATAGAAAGCAATGCAACTGACACGTTCAAGGCCCAGAAAGGTAGTAAGGACATAATTAATATAGTCCATGTGACATCTGTGGTTCAACCTTAATTTGATAAAACTACGAAAATACTTTTTGTGAACAAAGAAAACAAAAATAACAACTTAATTCAATAATTTCTTCTCTTTCGTGTCAGAATTCAACGTGCGATAGTACAACGGTGCATGCATGTGCAGAAAAGAATTGTTGAATAGTCATTATTTTTGTTTTCTTAGCTCACAAAAAGTATTCTCGTAGGATTTCATCAAAAATAAGGTCTTGTGGGTTTGAGGGCGAGTATGAGGGTGAGTAATTAATGACAGAATTTTCATTTTTGGGTGAACTAACCCTTTAACAGCATTTTCACCACCCTCCCCTCAGAGAAGCAATTTATTACTTTTTGTTTAAAGGTTATGAGGATGAGCAATTGCTAGAAATATGATGCACAGGTGACCAACACCCAGAACATGTAATTGGGGTCAATTTTGATTTCAAGTTGACTTTAAGATACACACCATTCATTGTTTGAGGTACTGTTCTTGTGCCGGGCCGTTCAAACAAACAGAACAATTTTGAAATCATAAAAGAGCCAGCATGTTTAAAATTGTCTGGAAAAATGTACAAATATTCTGCATTTCAAACTGGGATAGGAGCATTTTAAATAAAAAATACACACAGCAACTTTAATGTTTTTGTTACTGTATTCATCTAATGCAGCTGGTTATAGAAATACACTTACCAACTGATTTTCCAGGGTAGAGCTTAAGCTTAGGGTATCCTGGAACATGCTCTTCATTCTTAGCCCTAAGTGTGTCCAACTCATGTTTGATAATGTATTGACACTCTGCGTCACTGAGGAATCCTTCTCCATCTCCTATGAGCACAATGTAACAACACAATGTTACAGAACAACCTGGACCAATACAGTTACTGAGTGTATTGTATCTTAATACTGTATCCCTGTTGGAAAAACCAGTCACACTTTAGTTTGGGGACCAATTCTCACTATTAACTATGACTTTAACCTCAATAAACTCCTAATTTGCTGCTTATTAATAGTTAGTAAGGTAGTTGTTGTTTACGTATGGGGAATCTAAAATATGGTCATTCAGAATAAGACATGTTCTTCAGAAATAGTAATAAACAGTCAATATGCTAGTAATGTGCATGCTAATAAGCAACTAGTTAATAGGGAGAATTGGTCCTTAAAATAAAGTGTTATCGAAGAACCAATATCTCGTTTCTAATTAGTCATATACTGTAGATGTGAAGCCTATATTATGAACTAATGAAGCTGAAATCACAAATCTCACCATTAAAGTCATTGAAGCTTTCTCTGTTGGCATAAGTGAATCCTCGCATTGTCCCATCTTGAAACTCCTTAAACAACCCTACATCCTCAGCTCCATTTAAGAGCCTTTGCAATGTAGAGCCCACCACAAAGACATTTGGATTAGGCTTCTGATCATCCTGAGCTGGAAACAGGAGCTGATTCACCAACAACTCTGCTCCTGTAAACAGAATCACCATGTTACACTACATATTTTACCATGTCAAATTCCCAATAAATAAAAAATGTGCATAAAATTTAACAATAAAAAATTAAGTTTTCTGAAATATATTGTCTAAACTAAAGAAAACTGTGTGACTCTATTTATTGACTCTAAAAAATTATTATTAATTCATAAATATTATAATATTTGTCTTGTCAGGCAAAAGGTCATATTATCTGATATTTTAGTTTTTTTGACATTGACATTTACATTCATATGTATTCATTTATCCTTACACATAAGGAAGATTACATAGAGCCAGCATTATTCATAGTACACAATGGCAAGTTTAGTGAAACGCAGAAAAGATTTTTGTGATGGTAGATTGGGTGGAGGTTGGCAGCTCATTTTACCAGAGAACAGTCATGAGTGAATCATTTCCGGGTTTTTTTTTCTGCATACTGGCTACATCACATGATTTTGATGTTGCAGACGAAAGTTTTGAAATAGTACCACCAGGCAGTGAAGCAGTCTCAATAAACCCATATTTTAATGATTTTTTCCCTTTATAATCGCATCTGAACAGTTGCAGAATAACTTAAACCCAAAATGAATTTCAATGCAGAACTGAAATTGTAAACATGCTAATCAAAGAAGAGGCATATTCAAGTAACTGTGTATAAAAGGAATTTTTTATTGACTTTTGAATAAGCAAGCGTCATGTCATTGAACCATAATCTGTATAAATATAAAAACTAGTGCTGTCAAACGATTAATCGCGATTAATCGCATACAAAATAAAAGTTTTATTATTTTATATTTATATTTTTTTATTATTTATATTTTGTTTACATAATATGTGTGTGTATTGTGTATACTTATTTTGTATATATTAATACACACACATACAGCATATATTTTGAAAATGTTTACATGTATTTACATGTCTATATTTATATTCATATAATTTATATCATATATAAATATATTTAATATATAAACGTAAAATTTTCTTAAATATATGCATGCGAGTGTATTTATATATACATAATAAATATACATAGTACACACACATATATTAAGTAAACAAAAACTTTTATTTTGGATGCGATTAATCGCGATTAATCGTTTGACACCACTAATAAAAACAGCTTGATACAATAACATTTCATGTTACTGGTCTCTAGTATTGAAACATTACAGCAGTACTTTATCATTTATGACAGCTTTACAGCTTAAGTACAATAAAAATGAATTACAGAACTAGTACTAATATACATTTAACACTGCAGTGTCAGGCTATTTTAATTAATAAATAGAGCACTGAGCAGTTAATATGGCACAGAGTCGCTCCTTGTTGTCTGTGCAAGCAGTATGTATGAAGTAACTTTGCACTTGTGTTTCCTCTACCAGCAGAATTTGATATTCTATGTTCCTGACCTCTGTGAAGGGCAGGGTTCATGTTTGGTTGGTCAGAGTGGTTGAGTAACACTGACAGAGGCCCAAAAAACAAAGAATGGACTTCAAACACCAACAACTTCAGAAAGCAAATAGATATTTCAGAAAATGTTAAGTTCCTGTCAACCTCTTTCCCTAGATGTAACATGCCAGGGGTCTCACCTCCATTTTGTTGCTTGTCTCTGATCCGGTTTAGTAACCAAGTGATGGCCTCTGCTTTAGTGTCATCAGCAAGCTCCAAGACCACCAGAGGGGTGAACGAAGAGACATCACTGTCAGAAACCGACAAGCCAAGTTGCATTTTTCTTGATCCCTGTGTTACACACAGACGAAAATAGGCAAGGGGCATAAAAAAATTATAAATAAAACATATCACTCTCCTCAAGATTCAGATACAAAAGGTACAGGGTGAGATTTTACTTCAAAGCAGATGAAACACCACAAGTAACACCACACAATTCGCACTGTGAAGAGCGAGCCTTATTTGCATCTATAACTGCTTATGAAAATGTTTTCATGTTACTCAGAAGACTAATGCAAATAGGTCATTCTAACTAATAGGTTAGAATAAAATTCATGGTTGGTCAAAAAAAAAAAACTGCTTGATGATGAAGACATATCATCATACAGTATAAAATTCACTTTATATTATGACTTACTCTTCCAATACACACTACCATGCAAAAGTTTAGGTACACTTTTATTTGGCTAAAATATATTCAATTAATCAAATGTGGCTTTTACACTATTACAAAAGAAATCAAGTGAAAATTAAAAAGCACAACTGTTTTCAACATTGCTAATAATATTACATTTTTCTTGAGCACATTACTGTATTTTTGATCAAATAAATGCAGCCTTGGAGAGCATAAGAGACTTCTTTCAAAAACATTAAAACATCTGGCACCAAACTTTTGAAAAGTACTGTGTATCCATTTTTCTTTGGTCAAATAACAAAACTGATGGCAAGATTTAAAGATGCTTTAAAAGAGCTGATGCTTTTAAGTGTTGTAGTAGTTCTATGTTCATTATAGTACAAAGTTCTCTGGAATATTTGATTCTGATTGGTCAGTCGTGGCATTGGGCAGTCAAGTCTTTTTGTATAATGGCTGCTAAACTCTATATTTCACCACTGTCTATATAGCAACATACAAGTGCTATTTTTGTGCGTCTTGTATCACTCTGTGGTCTCTTTCTTTTTATACCAACTAAGCTGGTCTGACCAGCAGTAATCTACCCAATGTACCCATGCAGAAGATATATACAGTGCCGTGAAAAGGTTTTTGCCCCCTTCCTGTTTTTTAAATTTTTTGCATATTTGTCACACACCAAATACTCTTCAAGTGTAAATTTTGTTATGATTTGCAGCTTAAAAATTGTGTGTGAAAAAAATTAGTAGTACACCGCTACATCAGCACTGATGATAATAATATTACAATACTCACTGAAAAAAATTATTCATTGAATTTACTAATTTTTTTAAGGTAAGTGGTTGCAATCAATTTATTTGAGTTACATTTCAATAAACAAATTTAGTTAACTTTTAACTTTTTTTTTTAATTAAATGTAGCTAAAATAAATAGTTTGCAACCACTTACCTTAAAAATACATTTAGTATCATTTTTTTTCTTCAGTATTCAGTATACATTAAAAGCCTAATATTAGAATTATAGTATAACATCATTAAAGAGGAAAGCTAGAGAAAGACTTTTAACTAGTCTAGTTTGGACAAACCTGAGAAGGAAAGGAAGGTTAAAGGAAAGTGTGGAAAGGGACTTATAGGCATTTCCAAGCTATCTACCATTCCATTGTATGTAAAACAATCTACAAATGGAGGATTTCAGACCACTTGTAATCTGTAATCTGTCCACCAAAAGCACTTCAAGAGCAGAGATCAAGATGCTTCAGGGCCTGGCGAACTTGAATTCCACATTACAACAAGGAAAGAATGTGAAACCATCAGTAAAAATGTTGAAGCTGAACCATAAATGGAGTTTTCAACATGATAATGACCCAAAACATGCAAGCAAATCCACAAAAGAATGGCTCAGAACAAAGAAATGGAAAAGTCTGGAATGGCCAAGTCAAAGTCCAGACCTCAATCCGACTGAAATGTTGTGATGGGCCGTATATGAAAGAAAACCCTCCAATATCACACAGTATGGAGGAATGAGCAAAACATTTATTCTTCTTGATGTTTTTATAAGAATGAAAGGAAACGCATCAAGAAGCCACTGATGTAGGGGTGTACTTATTTTCTGCACAGTCAAGTTTCCATTGTTATTCATTATATCACACACATATTTAGATTATGCTTGATGTTTTAATTAATCTAAAACCGCAAAAACCTTTCTGATGGTTAGGTTTAGGGGAAAGGCTGGGGTTAAGAGTGAGGAAATATCGTTGGTTCAATATAAAAACAACATAAGTGAATGGAAAGTCACCATAAAGGTACAAAACAGGTACGTGTGTGTGTGTGTGTGTGTTATTGTGTCTGCCTGCTGCTACACTGCAAATTGCCTGATGTGATTAATAATGCATGTATGCATCTGTTTACGGATTGTATCTGTATGTACAACATAACATCAACCATTTGAAGATGCTTGCATCCTTAAACATGCAATTCTGGAAGAAAAAAAAATACTGAAAAGTAACATTACATGAAAAGGTGTGGCAAGAAAACTGACCAAAAAAAGAAGATCTGTGTAAAACTAAACCTGCAGGAGCAGCACAGTTTGTGGACATGTCTCAGGAAACACAGCATGAGATTCTCATTACATTTAACATTTCTTTGCTTGTCTTGTCTGAATGAACAGTCAACGGGGTTTGACTTCACTGACAGATTAATTACTGGGCGGAGCTAAACATGTATGCCCGACTACGAAACATACTAACAAAAACAAGCTATATGTGACCCCACTTACATTATACAGACAAATAACCCACACACGCCACTCTTGCTGCCACTTTGCAAAGCTTAAATGCTTGTAAAGTAACATATTAAAGATACAAGTCGTATGTCAGGCCTGAAACCCCACTGACATGTAAACTATATCTACTCACGGTGTTGCACGCGCGAACAGCTGTCCGGAAAGCGAAACAGACGTCAGTTCTGCGCTTTAGAGACCCATTTAAGCCAGTTGATTTAAAAATCGTGTTTAAATTTGTGTTTAATTCAAGTGTATGAACCGGAGAGGTTTAAAGTTAAGGCTGACTTGAGTTCCTCCACGTCATCGAGATGACACAGCCCCGATTCTAGATCACACCCACCCACCGTTCAAACCTGTTAAATAACCACATGAATGTGCAACTGTGAGTGATTTATCAACACTGATTTAATTATGCAGACAGTCACGAGCCTACAGACTGAAATAGATCCTCTTACAGTTATTCGTGTAAACGCCTACACCGTTATACATGCGTTTTAACATCAAAGAAAATAAACATTATTTGTGCCTTCAAACAACACGTATGCAGTGAAAACGACTTCTGAACTGTACATTTAACGCTGATAATAATCACTAGCCAGCTAGGAAGTCTAGATCAGAGTTCAGTGTCGTTGACGCTTTGTCACGTGATCAATGCTAGTGCTGTCCGATTCGTGAGTGAATCACTCTTTTGAATATATATATATATATATATATGTATATAATCACTTTAACTAATATCTAACTAAATGATTAATTGCCTGTATTCATTGTAATATAATTATTGTGTCTTTGATTGACAGCTCTTTTACATTCTCTTGCTTTAGACTGGTTCAGCGTGTACTGATGTTACTTGGTATTCGTAGTTTCTTCTACAATGTTTTCTGTTTCTTGGACAAGACATTGAGGTAAAATGTGTCCAAATGTAATTCATAAACTAACTACTAAGTGCCATTACCATTTACAGTACCAGGAGCATGTTTTGGTCACTTTACAGTGTTCATGTTAATACATAAGAACGATGTAATCCTAATAAACAAACATATAGGACTACTTAATGTGAACCAATATTCTAAATCAGATCTACAAATCTAAACAAATCTATTCCCTTCCACTTATTGAAAACTATTTTTGTGCTATAGGTAGGCTATTTTTCTCTGAGGAAACTCTTCTGGCCTAATAGTGTTTTTGGTGGCATTGTTTGGTCAGAATGTGTCTTTTCTCAGCTGTGTTTTTATTCAACAGGTGCTTAAAAAAACTCCATTTTGTTCAAGGTGATTAACGAAGTCTCTTACCTCAAAATAAATGTGATAGTTTCATAGATTTTGCTTAACTATTTAAACCAGCAACATTTTTAAAAGGATTCAATGACAAATCCATATCATGGATTTGTCATTACTCATGAATCAGTCATTGCCCTTGATGACATCATGCGTTAGGGCAGTTTAACAGTGCATAGCAACAGTTGTTTAAGAAAGTACTGTTTTGGTTTGGTTTCTCTTTAGTTTTGGGACATATAGCCGCATTGTATCCCATACGCAATATGATTATTTTGTGGAAATGTGCATAATTAAACATTGTCATTAGTTATATATAATAGTTTAATAATATATTTTATGAACATGTAATATGTGTAGCATGGACACTGTAATGTACTTTTTTTTTTTTACAATGCTGCTTTGATTTCGCAGACTGAGTTTTATCAAGTAATTTCTCGAGGTCTGAGGTTTGTGTTCTCTGGAAAGCAGATTTGAAAGCCTACTTAATACTTTTTTTTTAATTTCCTATTTCATATTTAATGAATATGATTCATATAGAGCTTATTTATTAGTTAGTTAGTTAGCTACTGCTCTGAAAGAAGATTTTAACCTGTGCCTTGCCTTCTTAGTATTTCCTGTATGTATGTATGTATTTTTTAGTATTAGTATCAGTATTAGTATTATTAATTAAAGAACAACCATTTTCAGACGTGGTGTTTTAGTTTCTGAGTAAAATAAGAAAAAAGAGGCTCACATTTCATTGTATTGTAGATCATGGTGGATCACTGGCTGGCTGCCCTCCTGGTGCCCAACATCACAGAGCCAACTGAAGGAGGCAGAAGAGAAGATGTTGCAGTGTGAGTAACTGCCATTGTGTCCTTTGTTTGTATCAATTTATCCACCTTTGTCCTAAACCCCATGACCCCTTAAGTTCGCTCTATGAATACAATAATAAGCATTTTCAAAAACTGGGTACAATGAGGTGACTTTATTTTACTCACCCTTCAACCATCGATCATTAAAAGGAAATTTAAAGGGTTAGTTCACTGAAAAAATGAAAATTAGCCTGTGTTTTACTCACCCTCAAAGCATCCTAGGTGTATGTGAATTTCTTCTTTCAGACGAATCCAATCGGAGTTATATTAAAAATTGTCCTGGCTCCTCCAAGCCTTTCGGGATAAGCGGGTGTTTTTTGTCAACAGTCCAGAAGACGTGAAATAAAGTGCGCGCATCCATAATAAAACGTGCCTCACACAGCTCCGGGGGGTGAATAAAGTCCTCCAGTAGCGAATCCATGCATTTTTGTAAGATAAATATCCATATTTCAAACGTAATAAACACTTTTTTTTCACTTCCGCTGACTGTTGAACACGGAAGCCGTTCCAGCGGATGATTATAAGACGACCCCCCCCTTTTTCCAGATGTAACTTTTGGAAAAAGGCTTTTTAAAAACCAAATCTTGTTTTTTCTCAGTAAAACACATTTTGTCTTCAATTATTTTCATATTGCATATTTTTCCTATTTTAATTTTTGTTTTGAAAGTATGGTAAAAACTGGTAAAATGTACCAACAATTTATATTCGGGACAATACGGTAACTCCGATTGGATTCGTCTGAAAGAAGAAAGTCATATACACCTAGGATGCTTTGAGGGTGAGTAAAACACAGGCTAATTTTCTTTTTTGGGTGAACTAACCCTTTAATAGTGTAAAAGTATAAACAAATTACTTTCAACACACCATTAATAACTCCCAAAGATCCTCCTTCTATCCACAGCAATATTACGGACGTGATAGATAATATCATTATGGTAATTTAAGTCTATATTTTATAACAATTACATTTTACAGCATCCGTGTGAAAACAAACCTGGAAAGAGACATGAGGATTTGGGGAGAAAAATGAAAGGTTATTAGTGCATTCCAGGGAATATTCATGGTTTATATCATAAATTAAATCGGGAGAGCAGACCACAAATGTACAGTATATGTTGTCTTTTTTCGTTTACTTACAATACAAAGGAAGCATGAAAATAATCAGGAGGAAAATAATGCAGCAAGCTGAAAAGAGCTTTTCTATTGATATTGTTGTTATACCACATAACATTAATATACCAAACATAACGTTATTTTCCTAACTTCTGAAAATAGAAAATGAAAATTTACAGCCCATTCAGTCAAAATGATGGATAAGGAAATAGTGCAATCTTAATCTCATCTTTTTGAGTGGAACTTCCCCAAAACAGAAGTGCCTCCCATAATTTAAAACACAGTAGGCTCGTTAGGAAAAAGGTGGATAAAATCAGGCTAAAATCAGGATAGCTTTTCAAAATCTAAACTTTCACAATTTTAATTGTTAATAGAAATAGCAAATTGTCTCTAAAGTTATATTATTCACATAACTTATGATGATCAATATATATTGATATAGCTAGCTTTTATTTTAGTTTTGTTGTTACAATCAATAATTTTATATTGTACATCATATACAATATAAATTGCCATTCAAAAGTTTGCCACTTTTTAAGATGGTTTGAATGTTTTTGAAATAAGCCTCTTGTGCTCACCAAGACTGCATTTATTTGATCAAAAATAGTGAAGTGATAATGAAGTTTTAATTTATTAAAAAATAAAATAAACAAATAAATAAATAAAAGTCTGGTTCTCTGTAAAGGAGAAACTTACTGATTCCCTCTCTTTTCCTTTTATTCCTATCAGACATCACAAGCAAGTTCTGCAGGCAGTTTGTCCACATATCTGACAAAAACTCACTGTGGACATTGGCATTTAAGGGGCCAATGGAAAATAAGACCCCTCTGGTGCTGCTGCATGGATTTGGGGGCGGTGTGGGACTCTGGGCGCTGAACCTGGACTCTCTCTCTCAGCAGAGGCCCGTTTACACCTTCGACCTGCTGGGCTTTGGTCAGAGCAGCAGACCTCACTTTAACACGGATGCACAAGAGGCTGAGCTCCAGTTTGTGGAGTCCATCGAACAGTGGAGGGAGAAGCTGGGCCTGGAAAGTATGATTATGTTAGGCCATAACCTAGGAGGATATCTGGCTGCATCCTACGCAATCACATACCCAACCAGGTTTGTAACTAAAGAGAAGAAAAAGAGCTCAGCGTCAGTGAAGTATACTTATCATGATCTTAAAGGGTTAGTTCACCCAAAAATGAAAATTCTGTCATTAATTACTCACCCTCATGTCGTTTCAAACCCGTAAGACCTTCTAGAGAGAGAGAGAGAGAGCTAAACATTTAGTAGTTATGTGCATTTTCCCCCATTGTAGTTCTACTTCCATAAATTCAAATTCAGATTTATCATTTGCAGTTCTGTATCCTCTAATCTGATTTTAAATCAGCCCTTTGATGAATATAAACTAATTTCTGTGTGCTGTTGTGTTGTAATTGTGCACTCTAGATGCAAACCACTTTTCTTCACATCCTTCCTGTTTCCCTATTGCCCACAACCTTTATGTCTGTCAGCAGTTTGATCTCAGAATTTGATTCAAAACTATTTTTGTTAGCATCAGATTTCAACAGCATTAGAGTTGTATTTTTGCTTCTATTATATCCACTAAGATTTTTATTTTTATATTAAATAAAAGTGTCCAGATTACTACCAAAAACAAAAAGAAAGTTGCTGGAAGTTGACCATAAAAAAAAAAAACACTAAATGGGGTTGTGATCCAGTTAAAATATGCCACTGACTTATTACAGCATGTCATTCTTTTTACACACTGTCCAGAGTAAAGCGCCTGATTCTGGTGGAACCGTGGGGTTTTCCAGAGCGTCCTGACCCAGGAGACCAAGATAGACCCATTCCTGTGTGGATCAAAGCTATAGGGGCAATGCTGACCCCATTCAACCCTCTCGCTGGTCTGAGATTGGCTGGACCTTTAGGTAAGATTTACTCTAATCTGAGAGTGCAAATCAAAAGTAATAATGAGAAAAAGAGAAATGATAGCTTAAGGCTCAAGATGTGCTTGTATATCTTAAATGATGTAGAACACCATTTGATAAAGACTGCCATTAATGAAACCCAGGGACAGATTTAGCCAAGATGTTGTGCTTGCAATTTCACTGAAATTATTCCATCAGTAATTGGAGCACGGCACTTATCATACCTCATACCTGTCTCATATCTCATACCTTAAACACATTGCCTTCTGTGTATATGCTGCTGTAAATTTGTTTTGCAGGAACAAATTGGCTTTGGCAATAACCCTAGAATTTTCCAGGATCTGAATATTTGTGTTCTTAGATTAATATTAATGATGATATTCCAATCATATTTTATCAAGCTAGCTTTTTAATAACTCATCTGGGATAATATTAGGGCTGGGCGATATAGCTAAAAAATATATCAACGATATATATTTCATATCGTTCGGTATCGATAATTATTGACAATATCATCTGGACATAAACAGAGTATGCTGTTCTGTGTCAGCTGCGAGTAAAGGTCTTACGGGTTTGAAACGACATGAGGGTGAGTAATTAATGACATAATTTTCATTTTTGGGTGAACTAACCCTTTAATGCATTACGTTTTTTGTGCATTTTGTGCATCCCAGAGCATTTCAGAAAAATAACGTGTATTCAGATATTATGTTGTTGAAGAAGTTGTAAATTTCTTCTTACAAACAAACAGTAACTATTTTTCTAAAAATCATTTTTGGGTGAACTATCCCTTTAAAATAAATACTTAAAATGTGCAAGCTTATTTCTACAAATAAAGTACATTTGATTAATTTACTAAAAGTCGCAAATGTCATATTAATTGATGATAGTTTGTTGCATCATTTTATGGTCATGTATCATAATCGTAAACATAATAATGGTTCCGGCAGAGCTTAGAACATGTCAGAATTTGAGATTTGACTGTCTTGCATTTTATGCACGTTTTCATGCAATGGCAATTTAAAGAACTTCAGCACAGTCACAACAGAGAATTGCATTGCTCAAATTTTAAGGTAAAACATAACATATATATATATATATATATATATTGGAGAATATCATCTGGACATAAACAGAGTATGCTGTTCTGTGTCAGCTGCGAGTAAAGGTCTTACGGGTTTGAAACGACATGAGGGTGAGTAATTAATGACATAATTTTCATTTTTGGGTGAACTAACCCTTTAATGCATTACGTTTTTTGTGCATTTTGTGCATCCCAGAGCATTTCAGAAAAATAACGTGTATTCAGATATTATGTTGTTGAAGAAGTTGTAAATTTCTTCTTACAAACAAACAGTAACTATTTTTCTAAAAATCATTTTTGGGTGAACTATCCCTTTAAAATAAATACTTAAAATGTGCAAGCTTATTTCTACAAATAAAGTACATTTGATTAATTTACTAAAAGTCGCAAATGTCATATTAATTGATGATAGTTTGTTGCATCATTTTATGGTCATGTATCATAATCGTAAACATAATAATGGTTCCGGCAGAGCTTAGAACATGTCAGAATTTGAGATTTGACTGTCTTGCATTTTATGCACGTTTTCATGCAATGGCAATTTAAAGAACTTCAGCACAGTCACAACAGAGAATTGCATTGCTCAAATTTTAAGGTAAAACATAACATATATATATATATATATATATATAGTATATATATATATATAT